GACATCCTTTGGGATCTCTAGGAATAATTGAGCCATAATACCCACTCTCTTCAAGTTGCAGGGACTTGCAAGATAAATCCCACTTCTGCTTACAGTACTTTTGGACATATGTCCATGTGTCATTTGGCTAAATTTACAAGTCCATCAGAGTGTTTTATCAAGGTTTTTATCAATGAAATCACAACAGTTCTTATGGAAATTACTTTTGGTTGCCAGCAGTCGAGGGCTAGCAGGCCAGGGACTGGTGACCTGGAACTGAAAAGTTCCCTTTTTTGTTACCAGTTTCTAAACCATTCAGTCTACTCCAGATCCTTACTTCTGGTTTATTATATTGTGGATATTTTCTTTACCGTGGCAGACACTGTTCTAAAGAGAGGAGAAAAAGGAGCATCCTGACTAGACAGAGTTAAGACTCTCACAGACATAGGTATTGAATTGCATTATGTTCACATTTGAAATGTTTATATCATAATGGAAGTCTTCGCTTTTGTGTTTGTCATGGAAACTCAAAGTTAACGTTAATTATACACTATTTAAAAGCCTAATCCTTATCAAATGGAAATAACCACTTTCTCCTAGATGAGTAGCTTGCTGACAGGTTTCGGTGATCTGTCTGTTATAGAAAGGCTATCACACAAAATATGCAACAAATTACTTTCTGTCATGGATACTTGGTCTGCTTTTCTCCTTCTGAATTAACCCCTTTGCCCCAAATGGCAATACGTATCGTAAATGTCTCTCTTTTGTCTTACTTTTTGCTTTTACATATGCATATTTCTATATTCTTTCATATGCTGTTGAAATTCTGTAACAATTAAATGATAAAATTAATTAAATGTAAATTACTTCTTGAAAAAAGAAAGAGAAAAAGCTTTTTTGTGAAAGGCTACAGAGTGCATATAATTTGCCTCTACAACTGAAATGGCTGCTTTGCTTCACTGTGGTTCCCCAGGGTAAATAACAATTTAAATGTGTTTTGAAAAATTCATACCACTGTAGTAAGACAGCTTTCTACCCGATTTCTTGTGACTTTTCCGAGTTCTGTACATATGTTCGCATGCATAATTATCTGATGCTGAATTATGCAGCAAGTGTCTCAAAAATGTGGGGCTTTTCTTACTGCACCTGAACAACTTGAATGCTCAGGCTGGTTGCTGGGCCAATTTACATTTGCTTCTTTCTGCCAAAATCTTCTCTTGAAGATGAATGGGGTTGCTCTACAGTCATTAAGGTCTAGACCGAACAAGAAAGTTTTAATTAAAACTTACCATTTTTAGACATAAGCCCACCTGTACTCATATCTGCTGCTTTTTAGTGTAAACCAGGCATTCCCATTTCAATTAAATAGATCAGAATAGCATTTAAAATCCAGTTTAAAGCAAAGCAACTGAAACTCTCTGCAGTAGTTTTTAAGCATTTCAGCGCAATTGTGCTTTATCAGATTTGAATGCTCTTTCTTCTTCCTGATAGTTTGCAAGAAGGCAATATCTACCAAGTGGCTTGTTGTAGGGTCCCTGGCCAAGTTCCAGGACCACTGATCTTTTCACTAGCCAAGGGAGGAACTGTTTCCCTCTAGGATGCCCATTTTCCAACAAGCTGAATGATAGCAAGGCAGGAGAAGTTAACAGGGTGTGGATACTGGCTGTTGTGGCACACGCAGGAGTATTTTCACTAGGAGTAGTCTCCAGCGTTGCAGAGCTCATGAAGTACGTATCTGTGTAATGAAACTCCCACCGTCTTTATCAATTCCCTAATTATGAAAAGCGAAAAACCAGTACTTTTCTGGCTGTGAGGATGATTTCTCAGGAGACCTGTGTGAATCATTTAACGTATACGCCTCAGTTTCCCTGCGTGTGCAAGGAGACTGTTTTCATAGTGTCACAGGAATGTCAAGAGATAAGTTTGATAACTTTGTGCGAAAGTTGCAGTAATAGAGAAAGCTGTTCTTTAGCTATTAACTCCTTAAATGAGGAGTAAGAAAAGGGAATCTGGCTCCGGCTTAAGCAAGGCCTTCAAAACATGACTGTTGTGATGATTACATCTTCCTCGCGAATCAGCGGTGCAAGATGGAAGTTTCTGATAGAAGTTGTGTGGCGGGCAGAAGAGCTGTGGATTCAAGAAATATGGCAGGCTGAAGAGAAGATCGAAAGAGCAGTCCTTGGTGATCTCTGTCAGAACGACAATATAGGACTGAGGGAATGTAGACGAATATAGATTTTTAGCTCTATTGATTTATGGAAAATCTAATCTTGTTAGGCTCAATTCTACCTGTAGCTCTTGCACAATTAGAAGAGGAATAAATCATTCCAGACTTTTCAGGCAATTTTGATTCTGTGAAGGCGGTGGATTCCCTGCCAATTGGAGTCACCCTCGGACGCTAGAAAATGTCACCTGGCAGTGTCCTGTGTGATTTTTACGAAGTTACACTTGCTGTGCTCTTCTAGCTCCTTTCTAGCCTGCACCTTAGCGTTACAAGCTCATCCCGCAATTCTTAATTTATTTTTTATGTTACTCTGCAGTTTTGGTGTCAGTAATGTTTATATGTTATGTAGCAGAAAGCCTTTGTAGGCTCATAGGAAATTTCTGTGGGAATAATCTAAATCCCAAAATGGTATCCCTGAGGAATACAGTTTCACTCCTCCAGCATGTTGTCTGTGTACTTACAAGTTTTATGCATTTATTTGGGGCGTGCATAAATATCCTTTACAGAGCCTTGACTCTACCTCTTCCTTGCTGGTAGAGTGTGTGGGGAGGTCGGACATCTACCTCAGGCAAGCGGCAGGCCTGGCCTAGTCCCCTTACACACCTTCTCCTTTGTGAGGGAGAAGATTATTTTATCCTCTGCTTTATCTTTAGCAGAGGCTGGTGCAAGCTCTTCAGTACTAAAAAGGATAGATTAAAAGATTGATTTTTCAGCTAAGGTTTTAATTTAGAAGAGAAATTAATGAGGAAGAGGGATGCCAGCATAACGCTTCAGCTGGTAGGAGCCGCCGAGGAGGGTGGCGTTGCACTGATCGTGGCAGCCCTGTTCAACAAGGATAGGCAGGTAGGAAAGTCAAAAAAACGGAATAACAAAGACAAAAAGTCACCTCCTTAGGACAATTTTGATTAAGTAATTTATCTGATTAAAAATAATGAAAATGGTTTAATTTCACTTGTAATTTTTGCTGGTTTGTAATCAGTCATTTATACATACATATGTTTACACACACGTGTGCATATAAATATGGAACTAGATGATCTTTAAGGTCCCTTCCAACCCTAACCATTCTATGATTCTATAGTTTATAGATGTGTGTATACACATACATCTATATATTATAAATACTATATATTATAAAATATAGGGCCACAGTTAATTCTGTGCCAGCCAATAAATAGCTTGTAATCTGAGTCAGATAAAGTTTAAGTAGAGGTGGGGAAAAAAGCCTTTGCTAGTGTTAGTCTGCTAACTTTCCTTCAGCTGCCGTGTTGAAACGTGGCTTGAAGCCCTGGATAGTGATTGTAATGACACCACCCTTTGTGGCCATGTTGGTAAAGACAAAGCTGACCAGTTGTATCCTTCCTGGAATGTAATTTTTCATTAGCGTATTAGAGATTTGGTGTTGAAAACCTTATTGGCAATGTAAATACATTCTCAAATTTTCTTATGTTCGTGACGTGAAAAATTACTCACTGTTAAATAATTCTTATAGTAGTCACCTGTAAGTTATTGGAAACATCTGTTGCACCAGAAATACTCCTCCTGTGTTCTCTGTATGAAGGTACTGTTACTGGGTTTGTAACAATATGCAGTTAAACTGGTTCCAAACAGAGAATTGCTTACGAAGATCAAACAGGTAGCTTAAAAACGACGTGAAGGCATTTATACTGTGAGCAAAGGGCAGGCCCTGTGTCTTCTGCTCCGCTTAAGACTTGCATTTGTATTATTAAGTATGTTCTACTACATTAGTTTAGGAAATAGGTTGCAATTTGAATTACACGTTATTAAGTGCTACGTTTTTAAGTGTCATCAGTCATTGTTAAATCATGACAAATGAAGTGTCCTGAGGATTCTTTAATTTTGTGTTCGTTGTGTTGTATGGCAAGGTTCGTCTGCTATTTCTGACTTCTTTACTACTGATTTTACAGAACAGATCGTTAAAACCTAACATTGATGGAGGTATCTGGTGGTTGGGTTTGCTGTTCTGAGGTTTTGGTTTTAAGCTTTATGGGTGTTGTGAGCTTTGGTTAAGTCAAAAAATATTTCTTTTTGTCTTGATGGCCTGACTCTCTGATTACCTGTGACTTACTCCAAACTGTAGTTATATTGCATAGTGTGAAATTGGAAAATCTGTTCTGTGTGTGTTCTAATGGATGTGACGGTCATTAAGTATATGAGTCTTCTGACGTCGTAATCAGATGTGATTCAGTCTGTTAAATATGCGTGAAGCAACATCTGCTTCACAGAGTGACCTTCTGCTAAAGAATACTTAGCATCTATTAGCAGATCATAGTGCAGATCTGCCTTATTTGAAATGCACTAAACTAGAGTAGTCTACTGCTGTTTAGCAACTAGCTTGTAATAATTTATTGCAGTTAAATAAAGCTTAAAAAACTCCATTAAATAATTACAGGGATTATATGCATTTCGAAAACCTTTGTGTTCTACTGAAATTACCCATTTAATTTCAGGGCTGGTTTGTTAAAAAAAGCTGAAATCTAAAGGCACATTAGGGGATCTGTCAGATGCTATTTTCTGTAGGTGTTAATAAAACCAGATTAAAAAAAAAAAAAGGAAACAAATTAAAACCAAAAGCAATTTTACCATCTGTTGTATATTAATTAGAACTTTGTGTATCAAGGGTAAACTTGCTCTTAGAGAATGTCACTGAATGTCTGCTAATAGAATAATATGCAAATCTATTAGATGATAGGATTATATTGAATTTCTCATTCTGCTTTGGTTGTAGCAAATGCTAAGATGGTGTATAACGAACTTTAATTTTCTTTCTTCTTAGAACAACCTCCAAATAACCAAGGCCAGTCGACCCTGCAGCCTTTGCCACCTTCTCACAAGCAACATTCAGCACAGCATCACCCATCCATCACCTCACTTAACAGAAACTCACTGACAAATAGGAGGAATCAGAGTCCGGCCCCGCCGGCTGCTTTGCCCGCCGAGCTGCAAACCACACCTGAGTCAGTCCAGCTGCAGGACAGCTGGGTCCTTGGCAGTAATGCGCCACTGGAAAGCAGGTAATTACCTAGGTACTACTACAGACTGTGGCACTTCTAAAGAAAGCGTTTCACTTGGTGAAAGATGACCAGCAGCTAATACTTCCCCTCATTCCGCAAATAAAACTGAAGACGTTTCCGTACTAAAAAAATCTATCCTGTCTCTAAAATCCACAATGCCCCTCTTTTCCCTTACAGTGCCCATTGGACACAGAGAGTATGTTATTTTTGCCAGACAAGCGTTTTCCTTCCTGTTCATAATCTCTGAGTCTGGGATGTGTGAAGAAATTCCTTGCCTGGTTTGCCAGCTGTGTTATGTGTTGAGTATGCACTGCCGTACAGATCGAATGTCAAGGAACTCTCAGCATTACTATTCAGCTTTTCCACTCGGTCTCGTTAAAGAAATACCCACGTGAGGCTAGGTGTTTGTTAAACTTGTCTAGGATTTGGGGAGACAGAAGAATTCGCTTGGTTCTGGTATAATGATAAATGTGTCCTCGTTCATTTTTGTCCTGTAAAATTGATAACTGGCTCTAGGAAAGAAGCAGCTAATACGAAGGGTGACACTAGCTTCTTTAGATGCAGAATGATGTATGATGCAGAATGATCTATAAAAAATTTTATAGGTCTTCCTGGCACAGAGCTGAATTTACCTACAGTGATTAATTAATACTCATGTAACACTCAATCAGCACTAATTTTTTATTAATGAAAGCCATAATATTCCAATTTAGTCATCAAACTGAGCATTTAGAACTATATTGAAGCTGACAGTAATTCTTGAAAATGTTTATGGAATGCCTTCAGTTCATTCTTTGAATCCCTTTAAATTATGTTTTGTAGCAAAGTAAGGATAGTCCAGCTGACTTTGACTAATTTAAAATGTACATGACCTTAAGATACTCTGTTAGGTAGTTTTTTCCCCATATAGGTTTCAGGCAACTGTCAGGCACTTGGGATTGGCTATCCCTCTTCTTAGTTTTCTTGGACCCTCCTGTCTAGCTTATGAGATATGGGCACTGTGGAATAGGATTCCACTGAAGGGATTTCATTGTCATACTCAGATAATTTAGTACATTAAGAAACAGTTTTCTTACAGAACTATGAAGTTTGTAGTGGGAATGTGATGTCTGACCTTTTCCAGACACTGGTTAATCTTCACTAGATGGGTAAGGTCTTTAATATTTGCTTCTTGTACCAGAGATGTTTTTACTGTGTTTAGGAAGAAAAAGACATAGGACTTGAATACCACTTCCAACCTGGAGTAAATATTTTCTGCTGAGCAGAGTCTTCTCGTCTTTTAACTGTTCCTTATTAAAAGCTAAGGGTATTTGAGTGTTCAACTTCTGAACGCTTGTGAATGAGCTGAAACGTGGAAATTTCACATAAATCTGACAGAGCCCTACAGTAGTTTCTCTAATAGTCTCGCTTGGTTGGAACTCTGGAGGTGAAGAACCCATCTTATTTGTCATTGATTTTTCCCTTTTTGGTTAAGGTTCCCTACTGAGTGTGATTCTTAGGCTCAGTTTCAGCTTTATTAACAACTTTGTGATAGGTCTCTTCCTTCATCCTTTTCTCAGCCTGAAAGAAAGTTTATTTCATCTTTGGCAATATTTTAGCTTATGTCCGTAGTCAGCCTTTTTTTTTAATCTGACTTAGGTGACGGCCGTTTAGAGGTGCAGAATGTCAATGTCAGCATATATACATAGCTGTCTTTCTATCTCTGTAGGCTCATATTGGTGATGGGTGGCATAAAAATGACATACAACTTGCTGTCATGAATAGCTGCATAGTGAATAGGCTGGTTTTGTGTACGTACGTGCAGGTGAGAGGGATCTGTTTGCAAAGCCTGAGGGAGGTTTTACTCCCTATCGTTTTGCAGTAGTAATGGATGTGAATATCAAATACATTCTTCCTAAGATTGGATTCAGTTGTATATTTAATAGAATATTCTGCAATTTGGCTCTGTGTAGAGTTAATACTTTTGTCCAAAGCGTTGCTGTTACTGGTTAAATGGATGAACTGTGAGGTGGCAGATCAATGATGTCCAGCAGAAATTCCAATTGAAGGGGTTTTTTTAATAAAAAAAGGCTCTTTTCTTAAAATTTTATGAGAGCCTAAAACTGTAACTTGGATTATGTGAGTGCTTCTTTCATCTTTGATGCCATCTTTAAATGACAACAAGGTTACTGAGCAGTGGCAGAAATTGTCTTCACTCTACTGGGGCAAAGTCAAATCTACATTTCAAAAAAAAAAAGGCAAGACAATAAGAAAATATTTCCTGCAGAATTCCTTTGATTCCTGCAGGGTGCAGGACCTTTCATTGGGCATTTAATGATCTTTAGTGTTGATTCTTCCCCAGCCTGCTGCAATTAGATTCAGCTGTAGAAGCAGTAGGTCTGCTGGAGAAGCCAGCACCATAGAACAACATTAACTTTTGAAGAAAGAAAAAAACAGGACTGCAGTGAATAGCTTTCCATTTTGTTCCTTGAATTACTGGTTGGGTAGCCCCACTCAGGTAAATGCATGCCTACATGGCAGGTGTCTGAATATTGTAAATGATGATTAAATAATTAAATATTAGTAGGGGGAGGGTTATTATCATTGGTCTTTAACTTCTTATTCACCTACTCGTTTTGGTAATGAGTTCTTGAGCACCAGAATCATTAGTTACATTCTCATGGCTTTGCGTTCTAGTGGGACCTAAATTGCTGATATTTAAAAATACTTGCTAAATCATTTCTTTAAATGCTTTCTCTGTTAAATATTTGAATGTGCAGAATTTTTCTAATGCACAATCAATTATGTATGTTAGAGATGTGCAGAGGAAAAGTCTGTTAGACTTTGCAAATTTGTTGATAAAAATAAGCTGGTAGCATCTCTTAGTGCATTTCTCAGGCAATATTTCATTAATTTTAGGCATTGAATGTCTAAGATAAATTTGTCAGCAAGGGGAAATTTACATACTCCGGTCAAGGAATAAATCTCTGAGGATATTATATAACCTTATTCAGAATCTGTGCTAACAGGTCAGTGAATCAAAGAAGAGCTTTGCTTTTTCTTACATGATTTGCTGTGTAAAATAACCCATTTTTTTCAGAGATGGCTGTATTTGGTAGACTGTGAATTTTTTATAGAAACTTAACATGTTTTTCCTAGTCTATCCCGATACCGCTTAGTCTTGGCGTACACCTAAATTACAATTAGAGTGGGTAGGAACATTACTGTATGCTAATTTTACCAAGAATAGGAGGCTGGTTGAAGAAATACTCGATGGCTGGAAAATGTTTCAGCATTTTGAGGGACTACATTTAAGTGCCAGAACACCTCAGAAGTGGCACGGACAAAGTAATTCCTAGAATGTGTGACTTCAGAACCCTTCTGCAAGCTTGATCCAGCTTGAGAATGAGAAGATTTTAGAAACTCCTGAAGTGTGATGAATATACCCATATGTCTTTATTGGGGTGGATTGCCAATAAAGCTAGCACCTTCAGTATCGATTAAGGTGTGGAAAGGGTGCTGGTAGTTTCCAGGGAAGTCTTAAATCAATTTGTGTAGAGGCTGATGGATTGTCTGCAAAAGCACAGCGTTTCTGGGGGTTAAAGTCTGCTCTTTTACACGTTCCACCCACTAAAACAGTGCCTGGTTTAATCAGGTTCAAAATTGTTCCATTCTGTAAGTCTTCCAGGGTTTCACACATGGGCTCGGTTAGACGTGTTACCCACACTGAGGAGGTACAGAAGGCAGAAACTGGGGATGGAGTTTGAGTCCTGCTCTTCTGAAGACCCCGTGTGTCACTGTGGGCGTGCCGCATCGCTGCTCGGCAGGTCGGGGGAACAGGACTCTACTCAGACTCCTGAGAGCATGAAGGCATTGTCCAAGGTTGATGTGCCGTAATTACGGGGTCAGTATATACACGCATTAGGCAGACGACCAGTGTTGCTTTCAGAGATTCAAGTTGTATAAAAAAAGTTCTGTTCTCTTTAGACATTCCCATGCGGTCGGGTGCTCACCAGCATCTGTGTGTGAATTCTGACACGCTGGGCCTGAAGCTTGGTGTCAGTAGTGTCTTACTTGCGATTTTTGCTTGATCTCTCTGGCATTCTTCCTGCTCAAAAATCCCTTGCTGTCACCATGAATACTTGGAATTTGGCCACGCTGTGCATTTCTTCCCCTGTCTCTTAGGCAAGCACTGCTAGTCCAGCATTCAGCAGTATTTGCCCAGTATCAGACGTGCAGCCATTCAAGCAAGCAAGATTGGACCCAATTTTTTTTTTTCCCCCAAAAAATCTTTTCGTGTTTCAGATAGGACAAAAGAAATTCGCAGTTCTAAACAAAATCATAGTGCCTAGCTCTGTTTCTCTCCCTTCGTTTTCTGACTGTTCGCTGAGACCCAGAGTCTGTGGTCCTTCCTTTCCCTTCCCTGCTGCTGTGCAGTGCTGTTTGCAGAACATGAGATTTCTGCTCACTCTGGTAGCCAGCCCGCTGCAGATTTGTTGCCTGACTGGCTGTGCCAGATAGCCAGCAAGACACTGTCTTTTAATAGTCTCAGTTCACTTTTATTTCCTCATCCCTGGTCCAGCCTCATCAAGTAAACAACCTCCCCCACTATGCACTGCTCAGTCCTTAAGCCTGTCTTGCCACAGGCAGCAGCCAGGAATTTTATTCAAGGACTTGCACATAAATAAGGGATCGCCAAAGGGCAGTGACCACCTGCCTCGTGGAGGCCTTGTAACACCGTGTCCTCAAGTTACGGTCCAGCATGTGGTTCAGAGGACAGCATGGAAGGAGGATAAATCCCACATCCAAAATGCAGTTGTGGAAAAAGGAGGTTATGCAACAGCACTCGTATATTCTTTTTGTGGGATCATCCCATTCTTTAATTTGAAATTGCCACTCTAATTTCATCTTTTTGTATCTTTATGTATAGAGAATTAGGAAATCAAGCAGTCCTTGCAAATGGTCATGACAACCTAATAGAGATGGATGTGTTTTCTCCAACATATCACGATAGCAGTTAT